AAGTAAATCCTCGATTACGTCGCTATTAACTTTTCCAAGGGGAGGTGTTGGGATATTCAGAAAAATATCCCAAAAACAATTATCCGGTTAAGTCTAATGCTACCCTTGAACGTTAAATGGTGTCATTTTCCTATTGGACTTTTCCCTACTAATCAATATTTATTTCGCGTGTCATTTCCCCATTGGTCAATATTATTTCACGTGTTATCTTTCTGTTGGTCAATATTTATAGTAATCCTAACTGTATAAATATGCATTTGTTTGTAAATCATTATTCGGCTCCTGACCCCATAAACAATTTCTCATCTACGGTTCGTGTTCTGATATATTGGAGATTGGGAACAGTATTGGGGTCGAACTGGGATATCTGAAGCTAGTCAATCGGTAGAAATTAGAGTAGTCACCTCGCGATACATAACACCCAACCAAAATTTAAGCACTAGTACAATTTCTGATTTTGTCTAAGTTTATTGAACGTCTGGTCAATAAATAAGTAAATTCGTACGTAAAACAAACCTTTTTCATTACTGTTTTGTTACCGAATACAATATTTATCACTAATTACGGAGGATTATATTTAAAAAAGATTGTTGATCTGAGTATAATGACTGCAATAATAGGCATAATCGATTATACTACTCTTTATTTATGTAGTGGACGTTTATCCTTACTATGGTGTTTGATAGAACAAGGTCATTTAGCTGAATTGATAGGTTGTTTTGTATTTAATTTCACTGGTTTCGCCCCGAAAATTCAGATGTTAACCATTCAATAGAGATTGGAATCCTTATTATACTATGTAACTTCATTTTTCACTTTTCCTTTTGATATGTTATACTACACTACTTAGTAGTACACAGCAGTTCCGATTATTTTCAATCACATTTAAGTACTGCTTGAATCATTGAATTATTAAAGATTGATGGAATTCGAGTACATTAAAGAGGAAAATCCTGCTTTTTCCGTTATCTTGAAAATAACCTATTGGCTAAGAAATGAAATAGACTGAACGTTCACACTTTATGCCCATTAATATTAACTATGTCAAACAGATCACGAAGAAAATTATCATCTGTAACATTACAGAAAAGAATTTTCTTTGTACTGATCAAGAAACTTTAATTAAATACAAATTTTAAATTTCTGCAATACTTTTATTATCTTTGCGTGATTTATTAATAAGATTCACATGTAACAGAAACACAGGCGGTAAGAGAGTGATTACTTAAATTTTGGAATTCCACAAAATCAGTTGACATGTAATTTTCTAACATTTACAGAGTTTACACAAGCTTATCGATTGAGTCAGTGAAATTAAGGATTAGTGGAAGCATAAATTAAAATAGGATGACATGAAATGTAGCTAAATGAAAAGGGAATAAAAAACAAACAAATGATGACACTTTATTAATGTTTGCGAAATAAACTTTAAAGAAATGTTTTAGTTTCGTAGCTAGGAGAATTTTCGGGCCAAAACCGAATTAACCACTGAGTGTTTATTTCGTAACATCTATATAGACCGAGATTACTCTTTTAAATACACTCTCTTAAAGGTGTACAGTCATGCATTCAGTCAGCTACTTAAAGGACATGCACATTTAAAGGCAACGTTAAATTAAAATTGTGACTAAGTAATAAGCTAATTATTTTATGATACATTCTTGTAGTTGTCGTTTATAACATCTCAGCTGCTGAGATTTTTACAAATATAGTCCCTCCTTGATGTCTGCCATTAATTCAAAGCTTAAATATTGAACACTTTCTTTAAACTTAAACTGAAGTTTTTTAAAAAAATACTTTAGTTTTTAAAATCTCAGTACGCTTAGCTCGGTGACTAAATTCCAAATAAGCATTGTGAATTTAAAAATATCTGTAATCCTATGAATACTACTCAACGAAATAAAAGGGTAGGGTAAGTGATGAATAGAAAGCTACAGTTCATTAACCAATACTTCAGCTATATAGAATCCCTTCCGGTTGCACTTTAGTAATGAATTCGACACGAAAAACTGAAAATACAAGAAATTAGCGTTGAATGAGCAATATGCGGAACCTTGATATGACGTATATGTTACTGAAATCCTATTTAAACACCTGCAGTTTACCAAGCGACAGTTCATGAAGTAAAGAACTTAAAACATGTTAATGATATTATTGGCATTATCGGTAATTATATTATCAATATTTACAAATTCTAAAGTACATAAATTTTTAGAAAGATGAGAATTTATTCACGATTTTGAATTTGTAAATAGTTTTTTTCATGAGCAGAAAGGTTATATTTGTTTACGTTTACATGTTTTACAAATAATCCGAATTTCAAAGGAACAATGTAGAAATAGAACGTCGTCAGACAATGTAAATGGTTTAGATGAATAATACTGACCTGGATATCAATATGTTACATTATAATCAATTCATTGTTAGTATAAGATATAGGAAACTATGCGGCACTACTCAACGCTTTAATGATGTATTCTAGCTTTTATTCCTCTCAAATTCACCGGTCACGATAATGCAATAAAGGGGTTATAACTCTAAATTCTTATAATTAGAGGAATCATAAACGTAGCACTCTGAATTAGCAATTTCTTCCTATAAAACATGGTTTTCAAAAGGAATAAAAATGAATAACTATCCTAAGATGATCTTCAAAGGTATCGATTTCAAGGATCTAGGAGTGTGGATGGTAGGGTTCACTGTACTTGCTCGACTCTCTCAGTGGTCATGAAATCTCGTCTCCCAGAATCAGACATGATGCAGCACAGATATTATTTGTGGGTCTTGTCAGGTATATTTATCTGGAAGACCATTTCCAACACCACTAACGTGATTGAACGATTCAGTTTGTCAGGAAATGTAGCCCAATGTGCACATTGCTGACTGAGATCACATGCTTGTATGAAGACTTGCTTTTTTCCTAACTATGTACCTATGGTGTTTGAATTAACTAATGATTCTTTTGTACTTATTGAATGCTCGATTTCGAATTCTAAATACAATACATTCGTTCGTTCTTGTGTCGTAATTTTTGATTCAATTGCGTCAATTCCGGGATTTTTAGTTCATACGACAATTCAAATATTATAGTACCTCAAGTTTCTGATTTATTAATCTTTAACCCTGTTAGACATAAGATCATATTCTAGTACTATTCACTCATCAGAATTAAATTAACTGATGAATATGCCGAGTACAAAATCTTTGGCAGAACCGGGAGTAATACTGTCAAGACAGATTTTAAAAGTGTCCTTAGGAAGCGGAAACAGCTTAATCGAGGTGGATTGATGGTGAAATCGTTTATTCTCAAAAAAATCTGTAGAAAAACAACTAATGTCAATAACACACTGAAATCGATGGAACGAAGCTGATGTCGAAATCTTCAGCTTACAAACAACATTGAGATCTAATTTGGTGTCATTTTTGCATATATTTCCTTAATTTAGAAAGAAAAACATAGAACAGTCTCTTCTTTCGTAACGTAGAAATTAATTATTGGCTAGTTTGACCGTAGTTTTTTTCATTTAGTCTTTAATGCTTGTTTTTAGTTCCTCCCAATTTGTGGAAATATACTGCTAACTCCCTTACATGAAAAATATGAGAATACTTCAAAGGTCAAACTCGAAACAAGTTAAGGGATCCAAATTAAAGACCTTATCTAAAATTCTTAAATCATTTTATTCCTAATTACTAGAGCCCAGGCTTCTCAGAGGTGAATTGCTAGTGAAAAATAACGTCATCGATAATCCTGTGTATGCCCTTAAATATATAACATAGCTCAATCTCGATACACTTATTTGATGCTACATTCGGAAATAATGAACGCGACATAGAATAATGGACTGAGGAAATATCATTTATTCTTTACGAGTACATAAATTCTAAACTTGACTGCCGACTGAGGTGGTCAATATGACGTACCAAGAGTTCTTCAAAGAAATTGGCTTAAGCGTTTCGAAAAGATTTGAACGGAATAGAAGAAACTTGCGCTCAACAGGCTTCCGTGTCTAGTAGCAGTGGATCACTGATACCTTCAGGTAGAATCCTAGTTAATGTTATCGATTAAAGAGGAAAAAGATGACAAAGCTGGCAAATCATAGTAAGATGCTATCCACAATCCTTAGGAATATATCAAGTTCTTTCTTAAAGGACTCCTGGAAAGTCGCTTGGTCTTGCTCAGCCGACAGCGAATTCCAGCAATTGACTGCTTTTAAGGACTAGTAGGTATGTCTACAGTGTTGTGCTATGTTGTTTCCGGTTTTGGGATGTTATCTTTTGGGTTTGTGCTTGGACTAAGCTTAGGTAGGTGTTCAAGGGGCTATCCAGAAGTATTTAGGATGCTGTAAGTCATTACAAGTTCACGTCTAAGACTCCTGTACTCTAATAGGTAAAGGTTCAGTGGTGTGAGGCGCTCTTCACAAGGTTTGAATTTGAGTTTTGGAACTGATTTCGTAGATCGCTGTTGGATACGTCCCAGAGTGTCCTTATACTTTAGGAGTGAGGGAACAAATATTATGCTTTCGTACTGTAAATAGGGGACTTATAACACTACTCCACTATAATTCACCCATATTTCCTTACCTACCTGAAACTATCGATGAGTCACGGGAAGTCTATACGAAGCCCACTGATTACTGATACGCTTCCAGTAGAAAAATCATCTGAGAGGACTTCAACTCATCACACAACATGGTAGACTCACAAAATTCAAGCGAACATTTTCGTGGTCTAAACCATTGGTCTATGGAACTACCTACCGGGAGCTTTACTGACGATACACTTTATTGAATATTTCGGACGTTTCGACCCATACTTTGGGTTTGTCTTAGGTAAGAAGAATTACTTAAAATTTTACACAATACTCTCGTTTATTACCATTTGGTTTGCGAAGATTTTAAGTTAACAGCAGAAGAATATCAAAAATGACACTAACTTCTCAGACAAAGATCATGAAGAATGGATGGTATAATAATTCTTTAAACCAAATTTAGTGTTGTTATTGGATTTCAGGATGATGCTGTTACGAACTTTGAATATTACGTTACCGTCCTTGGGATGACGTCTGGAACTGTTAGTATCAAAGAGCTGACTATCCCACAGCTTCAAGATCTTGTACGGCAATTTGAGCAGAAAATTCAGTTTATATCTGCTTCTATACAACAGCTCAAGTCTCTCCAGGCTCAGTTCGTTGCCTCCAAAAATTGTCTGGGTGAGCTTACCACAGAAAAAGAAAATAAAGATATTCTTGTCCCTTTAACTTCAACCTTGTGTGTTCCTGGGAAACTTGCTGATCCTTCACATGTGCTTGTGGATATTGGTACTGGTTACTATGTTGAAATGGTTAGTTGAATGTATAAGCGAAAGTTTACATAATTCTTGCAGACCGTTCCAGAAGCTGAAAGTCACTTTTCCCGTCGGGTAGAATTTATCAATAAACAAATAAGGAAGATTTTGCCTGTTCTGGAGGAAAAAACGCAGGCACATAAATCTATTTCAGACGTTCTGGATGCTAAAATTCAAGAGTTTATCAAAGTCCGGTCAGCAGCGTGTTCTTGAATAGTTGACGTATGCTTTCAGGTTCCTTTTTTAAGGATCCATTCGCTTTACTGGTTTCTTGTATTTACAATTAACATTCATGCCTGATTGTGTATTTTATTATTGAAAACTCAGAATGTGTTTTTTGTCCAGGACATTGTGTCTCCCAACAATGTCAATATGTGGAAAACTAAAAATCTTGTAAATACATGTTCTGGTGTTCTTCCTAAAATGATTTTTGAGCTAACTACTAATATCTTGACTGAGGGCTTATGAACGATCTTAGTTTAATCCCTGAGTAGAGTGTGTATAACTTGGATACTGGTAAAGTTAATTATGTTCATTAGAAGTGTTCTAAGTGAGTTTATTGCGCAAACTCATGCTCTGAGGTGTCATATCAATAGTTTTAGTTTTTATCATGTTCACTTTATGAAAACCTAAGATCCTTTTCTTTTTCTCTGTGTCTGGTACATATGTAACTATCAGAATTGATAGTTCTAAACATGTCTTCGCACTTTTCTAACGAAATACAAACTTAAAATTTATTCGGGACGGGTTTTTATTAGGGCTCACGATTATTTTATTGTCTTGACCCAAAATAATTCTGGTTATATATGTTCCCATCTCAAACCAACTTATTTAAATGTGTTTTTTCAACGTGTTTCATTTATATTATGTTGTTTGAGGATTAAAAATGTCATATATTATGTAGGTAATCCAAACGTAATATAGCACAAATGCCTTTTTCAGGTAATTGAGCTTTCTCAAAAAACAATCATCCGTGGATTTTTTCACACTAACCACATGGAACATTGACTTTCAGGTTAGGCTTTATCTGTTTTGCTTACTCTCAAACTGTTAGCAATAAGTTTGAGTCTTTTTTTGAATACTTGATTTGTGTGCTGTGGATCTTAATGTATGCATAGCAGATCACTTACGACTAACTTATACGTCTTTGGGATTAATTTCTTCGGAGCGGATTCATGCAAAGCGCACACGTGTTAAGCAAACACTCGGGTTACATCAGACAATTAGTCATCTTGTTGAGTGTATGAGACATTCCCACAGGTAAAAGTACGAACTAACCCTTAAATATCCAGCTCGTTAAAGTAGTAATAGCCAAAGTTTTCCTGAGGAATGCAGGTTCTTCATCAATGCATTTAGTACTACGTATCTGATGCATTCGGTGACACAAAAAGTAAATAAGGTTCCTCCATTTAATGTAACCCAGCTATGGAAGTTGTTCAGCTGGCAGTTCCATGTTTATTTCCTGTAGATTGACTTTTTTAAGGATTTACCACTCTACGTACGACGAGAATAAAGATTGAATGACCTAGCTCATCTAACATGAAATATATTGAAGGATTGCATGTATAAATGGAATGTATAATATTGACTCATTCAGCATTTTTGTCGCAAATGACAATTGTGTGGGCTATGTATCTTTATGCATAGATTAAACTAATTAGTGGTCAAACTATGTTGGTTGCTTTCCAGCTTTGACATAAAAAACGTCTACTAGGATTCTGAATGATTGAAAATTAACGATAAATTAGTTGCAAATCGAAATCATTCCATTGTACAATGCGGTATCAATTCAATTGTTTTGCTTCATTCCACTTCGCAAAGTGAAAGCAGTTCCAAAGCAATCAAATCACTGTTTGTAACAAGAAGCGGTCTGTCACGATAGATAAGTACTGCCGTTGTCAAAAGACTGATGCGTTATAAATAAAATTATTAAAATTTAAAGGAGTGCAAATCGTCCATTGATAATTAACGTCTTTGGATTCTGATTAACGGTTATAGCGTTCTTGTTTCGTATATCAAATTAATGTTAAAATCTCACAGTATTCTAAAAAATAAAAACAAATATACCCTTCTGCCCAAACTCTTTATTTCCGGATTATTTCCAAACGCAATGATAAGTCGCAGCTTTCTCCAAAGTTTGAAGAGATTTTGAGGGAAAAACCGCAGACTAATTGTCGTGTTCATAATTTTCTCAGTGTTTGGGTAAAATCAGTGTCGCGCAGTTTTCAGAACAAACATTTAATAATCAGTATGCTGTTTAAGCCTCTTACAACGAAATTACAATCAATCGCAATAATTATTTTTATAATTATGATGAAGTTCAGTTGGCATAACAGTGCTAACGTTTAGATCTTGTTTTAGTATGTCAAATAGACACGAGACAAAAAGGCGTCGGTTCCACATTCATTTTTCAAGTCTTACGCCATGCAGGTGAGTTGTTTATACTGCCAGATTTTGATTACTGCTTCTGTCCATCCTGACTACAGCAAATTGTTTCTTTTAGACTATTAATGTAGAACGTAATAAAAAGGATGAGACAGACGACAGCCAACAGACTGTCAAACTTGATGAACTGCCCTCAATCGGCCTTTTACAGAAGACTGAGTAAGTTAAGAGTCCAGTTTTAAAAATATCAGTTAACAACCATTAACAATGAAACATGCAGTTCATTTGATGTAGAAGAAGGAGGAAACGCTGTAGCTACAGAGCAGTTTAACAGTATTGTACCAAAATCGGCTATTGCCACTTGTAGTTACGTTCATTGTGCACCTAGTGCAGCAAACGGCATAATCTGGGTTTTTTTATTAACGAATTGTAGATAGTGCTACTACCGAAATGTCTCCACCTGTTCATCTGTCAATGACCCAGCAGGTAGACAGTTGTAATTGAGATGATGAAGGGAAGTGGCATAATTGTACGGAAGACCAACGGAATTCTAAATACTTTCGGGTGTGCATTCCTGAAGTACCCATGTCCGTGCAAAGTGTACTGGTTCTCAATCATAATACGAACTCTTAGTTTCTGGACACAGGAGTGTACTGCTGTGATGAACTGAAATCAAATTTGCTGAGGATTTGCGAAATTTGGCTATCCAAAATCAAGTTGAGTGAACTGAAACTGCAACTCAACTATGACGGCCGATATTTCTTCAAAAGCTCTAACCATCAGTTGTGGCAAATCCTAGGTCGTCTATTAGCTCCGTTTCTTGATGAAGTATTCATAGTTGGTATCTATGTTGGTGAAGTAAAACCATCCGACTTCAACGAAGTGTCCGCAGCACTTGAAACTGAGTTGCTGACAATAAGCCTTCATTTGCATAAGTACCTGTTATTTGTGACACTCCAGCTCGTAGCAACATCTGGTATGTAGTTGGACACAATGGTACTGCTGGTTGTGACAAATGTGACGCTCAAGGAACACGACTTGAGAAGTTGTATCACTTCCCGTAGTAGGTTCCAACCAATTCATCATCGTGTTATCCGACCGTTGTTTCTACCTTGACGTGGTGGTTGAACTTGCCTATCGTGATGAAGCAACCGAGCCATGCTGACTGGAACAACTGTTCCTCAACGTCCTACCACGTCAGAAAGGTCGGTTGAAGAGCGGTAAGACTAAAAGCAACAAACCCTAGGTCCGAAGGCGAAGTCGTACTGTTGACTGTACAGAGGTGTGACAGCAGTAAGGTGTTGCCTTCAGACAACCAGCATGACAGCGATGCTGCCTTCCCACAAGGAGGGGTGGGGTTAGAAAAGGTCGACCCTAAATATGCACACCTCACCTTACCTCACGGATTTCCGTCTCCGGCGGTAAGGTCTCAACAAGTACGGAGCTAACACAAAAATTGCCCATAAAAAGGTCGTTTGTGACTGACCTCAAGCAGTTGTCCCTTGAGCACTGCGGTCACGCTCCCAGGTCACTAAGACCACTTCTAATCCGATTTCCTATTTAGGTACCTCCAGAATAACCCTTCCACGGTGTGGGAAACCGGGAAGTGATAACCGCCCTCTTACCTCTAACAGCACTCAAGACCACTGGATTCATAATCATCCTCCCTCTTCAATTCCTATTATTCCTCCTACATCAACTTCAAACTCTAAACTTCTTTTTTCGGCTTCCCCCTCAAGTGTCACCATAGCAAACGGTTCTAGTGCTCGAAACACTGTCCCAGGTCTACTGAAACCTCGCTCCACACTACACATTGGAGCCTTCAATGTACGCACCCTAGAATCTCGTACCATTGATGTATGCTGTGTCCCCGAAACACGCATACAGGATCCCAGTGTGGTCATTCACTTGACCTCACCTCGGCAAAACGGAGAGCCAACGAGATACACCCTCCGTGTATCTGGTGACCCGATGGCCAATTCTCGTGGACTGGCAGGAGTAGGGATAGCTCTAAGCATGAGGGCTGAACAAGCACTGTTAGAGTGGATCCCCGTCAACAGTCGTCTATGCGCTGTCCGGCTAAACGGCTCCGTAAGAACTCGGAAGGATAGGGACACACGTCGTTGCATTTTTGTCGTTTCTGCCTACGCTCTTACAGACTATAGCTCAGATGAAATGAAAGATGAATTTTACAGAAAGCTATCTGAACTTCTTCAGAAAGCTAAACGTTCAGACATAGTACTCGTAGCAGCTGACTTTAATGCCCAGATAGGTAGTCTAAACCAAACAGAAAGGCATTTAGGTGGGTATTATATTATTCCAGCTCAGCGAACAGATAATGGTGATCGTCTGCTGCAGCTGTGCTTAGACAGTCGTTTATTTTTAGCAAACACAAATTTTAAGCATAAGGAAAGACATCGTCTAACATGGCGACCCCCTACACCAAACCAACGATGGACTCAAATAAACCATATTGCCATCAGTCATCGTTGGAGAGGGTCGGTAGAAGATTTTCGCTCATTAAGGAGTACCTGCTTGGACTCCGACCATACCCTAATACGGGCACGCATCTGCTTGCGCCTCACCGGACGCAAAAAAGCCACATTAAAAAGATCCATCAGAACTGAATTGAGTAACGAGAAAACCAAAAATAGGTTCCAAGAACAACTGAGTTCACACTTAGGTAGTTCTGAAGACGAGGTTGACCCAGATGTTGCTTGGAAAGATATAAAAACAGCTATGGAAACAGCAATGAAATCTATTAGTGACTTAACCCATAGAGTTACAAAGAACCAGTGGATTTCTTCAAAGTCTATCACACTGATGGATTCTCGCAAACTCGTCCCATCAGGTTCCGAACATGATGAAGAGCGACAACAAATCAGATCTAGGTTAAGAAAAAGTCTAAGAAACGACCGTGAGCAGTGGTGGGCAACGAAAGCAAAACAGATGGAAAAGGCGGCGGCTATAGGGAACACAAGACAGCTCAACAGACTAATAAAAGAAACTGGAACTAATAAGTCAAGTGTAAGTGAGA